GAGATGTACCTGCACTAACTCTCCGTTTACGACTTCTCTGGTTACTTTCTGGGGCTTTATGTCGGGATCTGTGGGGGTGTATTGTATTACAATCTTTCCATCTTCAAAGGATGACTTACCCTAGGAAAAGATCATATTCAAAAGCACAATACATATACCTCATATTGTTACAGTACCAAAACCAGCAGACCAGCTCATATTGTTAACCAGAAGTCTCTGTCGAGACTGTAGCTCTACTGGTTTGTACTTATAACAAAGGATGAGAAAAGAAGCCATTGCCATCAGACCAAAACTGTAGAAGGAAAAGCATTTTAAAGGAATTTCACAGACATTTCTATTTTCAGTAACAATGGCAACACTGTTCATTGAAATCAAAAACCGATGCACTGTTTTCTGTATCTTAGTGTAGTCTACTTGTGTGCCAAGTTATATTGAAATCAGACCAAAATTGTAGGAGTAGCGTTATAAAGGAATTTCACAGAAAATTCTATTTTTAGTAACCATGGCAACACCGTTCATCGAAATCATAATCCAATGCATTATTTTATGTTTCTTTGAATAGTCTACTTGTGTGCCAAGTTATACTGAAATCAGACCAAAACTGTAGAAAGAGTAGCATTTTAAAGGAATTTCACAAAAAATTCTATTTTTAGTAACCATGGCAATACCGTTCTTCGAAATCAAAAACCGATCCACTATTCTATGTATCTTAGTGCAGTCTACTTGTGTGCCAAGTTATACTGAAATCAGACCAAAACTGTAGAAGGAGTAGCGTTTTTAAGGAATTTCACAGAAAATTCTATTTTTAGTTACCATGGCAATACCGTTCACCGAAATCAAAAACCGATGCATTATTTTATGTATCTTACTGTAGTCTACTTGTGTGCCAAGTTATATTAAAATCAGACCAAAACTGTAGAAGGAGTAGCGTTGTAAAGGAATTTCACAGACATTTCTATTTTTAGTAACAACGGCAACACCGTTCATCGAAATCAAAAACCGAAGCACTATTTTATGTATCTTAGTGTAGTCTACTTGTGTGCCAAGTTATATTAAAATCAGACCAAAACTGTAGGAGGAGTAGCGTTTTGAAAAATTGTTTACAGACAGACACACGGCCAGCTAGACAGACAGACAGACGGACGACGGACACCTTACTATCGCATAAGCTCTTCTGGTCTCTGACCAGTAGAGCTAAAAATCTAGCAGACTATTATAAAGGGTAATCAAAAATGGCATATGTCGTTTAGTACCGTCCACGAATTTATCATAATGAACAAGAAAACAAGTATATATAAAGTATACGGATTTTTAACGAGTTATGACACCACTTAAGCAATTCAATGTATAACGAACGTATTTTGTACTTAATGGTTTGAAATGATTAATCACGGTAGCATTTTGAAGGTGAAAATCATATTTCCCCAAAGGAATTTACAAAATTTTAATTATTGTCATGTTAATTGCAACTTGAAATTTACATTGATACATGTATCCATGGGTAGCGCATGATTTATTAAGATATTATATAAAGTTTTATACAAAACTCTTGGCGAAAATTTGCATAAACATATCAGTTTAAAAAAATAGATGATATAAATTGGATCATTTACAACTGATATTTTGACAAAATAAGCTTCAAAATGACCAGCTTTTTATTTATTATCAGTCATGTGAATTTGTTTTGTATCATGATGTTCTATTTTCAATTTACTCTTTTTCTTTCAAAAGTCAGCTTATACTAGTAATTTACTTGTTTTCAGTCCCTATGAAATGTTTTACTCGTGTTAGGCAGCAACCAAATACTGTTTTAAGGATGAGGTTTTAGACCTGTACATGTGTATGTATTTGGCACTTGTGACCAATGAGTTTGAGGGAACTTCGTCTGTATACATTTGTTGTTACGCAGGACTCTGGTTTCACGATCCTATCCTTAGATCCGGTGTCAAACTCCCGCTGAGGGATTAAAACTTTAGGATCAACTCAAGGAAAGCTCATACCTCCTTGGCACACTCTGTACAGGGCAAGCTAACGCCAAAAGTAACATTTGCAACAAGCAAATAAAAAAATTAGCAATGCAACTTTCTCTAAAAAAAAATAAATTATGTAGTTTATTATCCGGTGAAAATCCATTCAGAGAACCAACAATGCATGCACTGATTTCGATGATACATTATCTTAATAACAATTCTGTGAAATACGTCTATATTAAAACTTATTTTGTATTGTTACAAGTTCAAAGGCCAAGGGTGCGACTTCACAATTTTAAAAGTTGTTGCTCTCATATGTATCTACCGGTATTACAAATTAAACAAGTGTCTACATCAAAAAAAGTCGAATAATTTCCTTCAAAAATATATATAGATTTACGTCGATAACCACCACATTCAACAGATTCTTAATGGGGAAACAAGTTTCAAATTTTCCCGCGTTACGGTGCAACAATAATTGGTGATGAGGGAAAGAAACTAAGAATAATAAACAAGGGGCTCATGGGTCAAAATGCTCACCTTCATAACTTTAACCATTCTGATCTTCACCAGATTTTCCCCTTTGTAAAACCTATTGTGGCCCCATCCGCTTTTCTGGCCCCGTGGTTGTTGAAGGAAGTTTTTAAAAAAGATTTCTTCTTTATATTTCTATGTCGAATTTGGATTCCCTATTGTGGCTCTGCCCTGCTCGCGGGGATCATGCATTAAACAATTTATAATTAACACAACCCCAGAATGCTTCCATACAATTTTCATCTTTCCTGGTCCAGTGGTTTTTAATAAGAACATTTTTAAAGATTTTTCCTATAAATTTCGATGTAAAACTTGAATTTTCTATTGTGGGGTAATGATTTGAACAATTTTAATGAGAATATACTCTCTCTTACTTTCATGTAAGTTTCAGCTTTTCTTGACTAGTGCTTCCTGAGATTATTTTTTTAAATGACCCACCCTATTTCGTCTTTTCTTGATTAGTCCCCCCTTGTAATGGAGCTTTGCTATTCATTTAAACAATTTAACCCCCTCCCTTTGACCAAGGACGCTCTGTACCAAGTTTGGTAAAAATTAGCCCAGTGGTTCTTGAGGATGTTGAAAAAGTGAAAATTTACATAAGGACGAACAATGGGTGAACAGAAATGCTCATTCGATTTTTCGGATCAGGTGAGCTAAAAATCCATATTTTGTGGTAACCAGTGTCAAGGCATATGGCAAATAGTACGTCAATTACAAATGTCATTTTGAGGAGGGCAAAAATTGATGGCATAATATATTGGTACGATCTTTGGAATTTTTTTTTTACACATATGGATGATGGAGACACCACCACTTGCAAGCAGAGGGATGCAAATTTTGACCTATAATCGACAATTATTCAGAAGATATATACAACAATATGTATTTGATAGTAAAGTGTTTTTAAATATATATGGAACAAAAACTATTTATAGAATAAGATTACCACCATCTTGTTCCCACGCATGTCCTTTTCAAATTCTTCACCCAGCTTGAATGTGTCTTCTTGTGTCATAAAAGCAGTAGCCATAGAAATATGCACTTTATCATCATCTTTCACAGAGATTTCAGAAACTGGTGTAGCCAAACCAGCCATCTTCCGAGCAAAGAAATTTACACCTTGAAAAAAAGAGGCATTCTTGATGACTGAGGCGATAGGGAACCAAAAACTCAAATACATCTTGTACTCTTTCATTAACTTTTAATGCAACAAGACGTTTCTTTCAAGACTCTTGCTCTACCGTAACAAAGGAAGAGAAAAGTAAATAGCGTACTTGAAACTTTGCCACAGCAATAACTTAATAATCTTTGATTTAGTCTCTTTCGTGGAAATATTGCAATCAGACCTACACTGTAGGAGTAGCCTTTCAAAGGAACTCTACAGAACTTTATATTTTTTAGTAACAATGGCAACCATTCATCAAAAACAAAATTAAGGAAGAAAGTTATGAATCTTAATGAGTCTACTTGTGTGAAAAGGTTATACTGAAATCTAAACAAAATATAAAGAGAACACGTAGTAACGTTTTGAAAGTATTTCACATAAATTTCTATCTCTAGTAACTTTATCAACGTCGTTAATATAAACCAATCTCCGATTTGTATAATTATATGTATCATAATGCTGTCAACTCGCTTGCAAAGTTATATTAAAATCAGGACAACACTGTATGAAGGTTAGCGTTTAGTTTGAAGGTAGTTCAAAGAAAATTCTCGATTTTTTGTAACCGTGACAATACGTTAATCGAAATCAAATACTGATGTAAAGAAGTATGTGTCTTCGTGTAGTCTGCTTATGTGTCAAATGAAATCTTAGTAAATCTCTAATAGGAGTAGCAATTTGAAAGTATTTCAAAGAATTTCTTTTAATTTTAGTAACTACGGTAACACCGTTTATCGAAATCAAAAACTGATCATGATAAACATGATTTTGTGTCTTGGTGTAGTCTACTTGTGTGTTGTTATTTAAATTAATTGATTGTATATTTTTAACGTCCCTCTCGAGAATTTTCCACTCATATAAAGACGCTACCGGTTGCCGGTGGAGAGCTGCAAATTTCGTCCTATTCTCGGCACTTAGGGCCAATTGAGCCAACACCTACCAACTGTGACACGGGATTTCGCGGTTTTTACAATCTCATCCGAAGGATCGATCTCAACATCCCAGAGTGGGATTCGAACCCGCGATGCAAGGATCAACTCCTTACTTTGGGACTCTAGTGCAGACGATTTATCCACTGCGCCACGCGGGCGACGTTGTAATTTAGATATCAGATCAAAACTGAAGGAGTAGCATTTTGATAAATTGCTTACAGACAAGACGGACGGACACATTATTATCGCCTAAAATGAATTTAACATCACCCTTAGAAGTTAGTATCTTAAGTCTGGCTCATCATAGGGAACGGCAAATATTTTTTTAAGCATCAAAAATAAACTTAGTTATGAAGATTCAAAGCAAACAATGTAGATATCACGCTCCAGTAAGAATAAAAAATATTTATTAATTATCCAAACATGACGCCTTAACCTTTCACAACATTTTGTCGACATCTTGTTATTGAAGTATGTGCGCTTTCTTATCCCATTGTTTTTTTTTTTTGATTCATAAAATAACAATAATTAATGCTTCGTTTGTGTAAATGGAGCTGGTTGTATTCTCCAAAAATCGGTTAATAGGTTTTTTGGATGACATCTTCAGGAAATGCATGGCGATTTTTTTTTTCCCTTAAAGAGGTAAACAACAAATCAACAGACCTAATTATTAAAATGACTGCTTACCACATTCTCGTAAGAAATCTTCAAAACGTTCACTTCTATCGAGTTTCCATTTGCCGACAAATCTATCTTTTATGGTTTTTATTCCATCCATGTTACTGACAAACGCTTATAATTATATAGCCTGTAAAGATCATCACTGATCTACAATCTTTTTATGGCTGGCAATGCGCGTCAACAACTTACATCATTAGTTATCCAACAAGGTGCTGCAAATAAATGACATTCCGCACGTTATGGGTCCTACATGTAAAAATCAAAGGTCAACTGAGTAGACTTATTTATACATGTACCTGTAACTGTTTAGTCTGTCGTCGTGTGATGTACTATTAAGACACACTGAAATTGTTGTAAGAAATTTCAACCAATTTGGGCTTATTGCATCTATGGATAATGGGGAACAAAATCTATGAAATTCATGACCCATACAACCTAAGGTCCAAGGGGTGATGCTTAAATTAATCAAATTAGAGCAATCTTTACAAAAAAGATAAATAATTAAGATCATCGTGAGCTTTTTCAACATTGTTAAATTAGTGGTCCCGAAGGTCATGATTTCTGGTGTAATTGCATCGCACTATTGGTAGTAATGAAAATACATTTCTTTTAAAAACCTCTATATTCCTTGGTTAAAACAAGGGGACAAAGGGCCTTAACGGTCACCTAAGTACAATTTAGAGGATTCATATACTGATAAATGAAGCTTTGTTGCCCAAAAGCAAGAAAAGTAGTTTGATTACGGTCAACAAAATAATTGACCTAATATCTTTTTGTCCCCTATTTATTACTATTATAATAAAACTATTAACGATTAAATATCTATTATTTAACCCACTATAAATACCTCTCACATTGTCTTATTTTTGCCATTGAAGAACATTTAAAAGCATAAGTTATTTTTGTCTCATTTTTAGTTCAACTGAGTCGCTCAGTTTTCGTCCGTCATCGTGCGTGAACATTTTCAGCTTCTTCTCTGCAATCGTTCAACCGATTTCAACCAATATTTGCATAAAGCAGCTATGGGTGAAGCGGAACAAAACTGAATTTCATCTAATCTGCCTGCCTGAGGGATGGTGCAAAAGCCCAAAAATTAATGCAACCTTCAAAAATCTTCTTTAATCCTAAACATCAAGCAGTCAAACTATTGGCATGATTGTAATCAGCATCGAGTCCTCTACCCAAATTGTGAAATTCATGGGCCCAAGGTCAGTGGTTCTAGTGCTAGGGCGGGGCTAAATAACTAATACTAGCTGAAATCCCGCGCAAGCGCGGGGGAAATTAATTTTTTACTGCTAACAGAACTATTCCTATAAATATCTTTCAGATTCTACTGACAGTTTATTAGATAAAGGAATATAGCATGACGAAATACTGCAAAGTCCCGCAATAAGTTAAGGAACAGAAATAGATAATTATAAGAAGTACACTCCCATAAATTTTGGGTTTGTATTACTTAATTCTACAACTATCAATTTCATTAAAGGCCTCTTCTTCTTACGTATTACAAAGAAACTTTTCTGTTGTACTATGTTATGCATGATGAGGCTGAGGGCCTGGGGTGAGGTTAAAATCACTAAAATTAATGCAATCTTTAAAAATCTTTTTCTTTACTCATGGACATCAAGCAGTAAAACTTTTGGCAGGATTGTAATCAGCTTCGAGTCCTTTACCAAAATTGTGAAATTCATTGCCCCAGGGGCGCCCGGCAGTGGTTCTAGTGCTAGGGAGGCGCTAAATAGGTTATATAGTGAAAATGCATGATTTCTTTGAAAATCTTCTTCTCTGCTCCTGGACATTAAATAAACTAACTAAGTACATAGTTATGTTGAATAAAGCTGCCTCTTCCAAAATTGTGAATTTCATGGCCCCTGGGTCAGGGGTTCTGGTGTTAGGGCGGGGCTCTAATGATTAATATATAATGAAAATGCATAAACTCTTTAAAAATCCTCTTCTCTGCTCCTGGGTATTAAATAAACTAAACAAGTATATATTTTATATTGAATAAGGCTACCTCTTCCAAAATTTTGAATTTCATGGCTCAGGGTCAAAGGTTCTGGTGTGAGGGTGGGGCTCTATTGATTGTATAGTGAAAATGCATGTATTCTTTGGAAATCTTTTCCTTTGCTCCTGGGTATTATGCCTATAAACTAAGTACATATTTATGATGAAGAAAGGTGCCTCTTCCAAAACAGTTCATTTCAGGGCCCCAGGGTAAGGGGTACCACGGGGGGGGGGGGGGGGGTCATAGTCTGGAAATAAAGTAATGCTGTGAATGCTATAAAGTGGAAATGCATTTTCTCTTTGTCCGTTTGATCTACCTTTTAGTATTAAGGTCATGTATCCAATTTGAAAGTAAGCATGCTAAGTGTATAGTTATAATTTACAATGGTGACGCTTTCAAAACTGTGAATTTCATGGCTTTAGGTTTAAACCGCAAACCAAATTTAATTATTGGAAAGTTGTTACATAATGCTCAGGTGACCTATAAGGCCCGTGGGCCTCTTGTTCATTTTAATTGTTTTTTCTCCGGTAAATATTTGTTTATTCCAAAAACTACAGCAGAAAATATAAAAACAACGGAATTGAACACACGCCCCACACCCAAGAAATTTAAAATTTAATAAATCCTACATGAAGTAAAAGGATACAATAAAACTCATTTAGTGCGAACACGGATATTGCGAATTCACGGATATAGCGAAGTTATAATGAATCCCCAGCTACATTATATATAAATTGAACGATTTTTTCTTAAACGAATTTAACGAATTACGAAATCAATATACATGTAGCTAAGTATTTTTATAGTTCCTAGTGACTTCGTTCTAACGTAGTTTTACTGTATAATTTTATTGAGAAATGAAAATCTTTCACACAAAATTATAAATTTTTTAAAACGATTTTGGGTACGATCGGGCCATTTTAAGTTTTTTTTTTTCATTTAACGGAACACATCTGCCTTTTACATTTTTTGTATTATTTAATTTAAATCAAAACTTAATTCAGACGAAGGCCTCAGAAATATGCCGAAAAAAGCTACCTCCGTTGAAGCAGATATAGCAACCAAACAAGAGGAACTCGCATTGATGAAGGAAGGTAAATTTGAAAGGGATAGGTTCGAAACAGAAAGGCAGGAAAGGTTTCAGAGACTTGAAAACGAGGAGCAACACAATAAAATGATGATGGAGATTTAACAAAATGTTTAAATGAATGAAATTAAATAATATTTAATGACAAAACGTTTCTCTGACACAAAAAATAAATTAATAAATAAATATTTTTTTATAGCAGTTTATTTCTCCATAAAACAGAAATGACATTCGGTTTGATTGTTTGCTTTCCATTTTAATAGGTTAATTTCTCAAGACATATACTCCTCAAGAGTTGGAGGTTGCAGGCTGAAGTAATCACTTGTGACGCTTCCATATAAATAAGTATGGTAGTTTGCGAGTAGCGTCGCAACAAAGTAGTACATGTATTAAACGACTGATTGAAGAAGTTTCTGGTTCTTTCTGTAGTCCACAAATGAAAATTATGAGAGAGTTTCGACATGCCCCTACATGTGAATTATCAATCCGCTGGGAATTGTGATTGACTGAAACTTAAGTCCATGTAAGCGTTTGTAGTCACTATAAACCACTTGCTGATGTTTCGGCGGTCTGCAAATTGGTTTACTTTACCATCTATGAATCCCCAGCACTGGGATAAAGGGAAACCAATGTCAGAAATAGCTTCAGCATACTCAAGTGATTTCTTTTCACTTAATAAGAGTTGATCAAATTCCGTCAACTTGTATGCATGTTTGTCAAAAATAAAATTCAGGACAGTGTAACAATATAGGAAATTTCAAATTTTGACGGACGAAATAAAGGTACCATATCGTTCACAGGTATTTAGGAACAGGAACCCACCCTCCCGATATTCAATCCCGAGGCTTGTTGGACATTAAAAAAAATATTTATTACACTTATTCATCATGTGTACCAAAGGAAAAAATCGTAAAAACCCCACAATAATCTTTCCAGAAAAAATACCCTTTTAAACAATATAAGAAAGAAAGGTATGTCACTCCGGTTTGTTTACGTTGTACCTCCACTGGTTTTTCTGGGTTTAAAAACATGTATAAATATTTTATTTTAACCTGAAATGTCTATTCACACTGTCTCTTATATTTCTGTCTTGGTCCATGCTGTCAGATCGACTTTGCATCTCGTAAGAATCCCAGAATTTCTCCTTAAACGGCATTTTGATCAAAGCGTTAAAAAATCCATACGTAAATGCAACGGAAGTACACGGAGAATATTTTCCTTATTACAATAACTGACGTTATAATCTCTCTCGGACGTTATTATAATAGATAATATATTCTCTATGCAGCATTCTTATGCTGAATATTTTCCAAGTTACTAATCTTAGATTTTCCGGGTCTGGATGAACCACTTGACCTCTTTCCTGTGTCAGCATTCTTGATAATACTGGTAATTCTCTTGGATGATCTATGAGAAGTTCAGTGAGTAATGGTTCCCATGACCGACCTGATGCAAATGGTGCTATCAGTAACAAAGTGCAGTGTCTCTGAGCTACTTTCTAAAGAACTAAGTGGAGCAGAACTGGAGGAGGGAATGCATATGCATACATCCCTGTCCAACTTACACTCAGTGCATTTGTTCCAAAGGCTACTTCCATTGGAAATGGGGAGCAAAACACTTAAAGCCTCTTTTCCGAAATCGCAAACAGATCGATATTTGGCGGATTGAATCGCTGAAAAATATTCTTCACAATATTCTGATTCGGGCTCCTTTAATTTCTATCAGTCGAATGCCTAATCAGCCCCTGGATAAACTGTCCGCAAGGATGTTTCTCTTACTCGGTATCTGGGCTGCACTGAAAACAATGTTGTGACTCTTCGTCCACTGAAAAATCTCTCATGTCAGAAGACAGAGTAGAAATGATCTTCCTTGTTTATGTACGAGGCAACTGTCGAGTTGTTGCACCAGAGGAGGACTCGCTTGTTCCTGATCTGGAGCAAAACTGCATCAAGGCCAACTGAACTGCTTTCATTCTAGCCAGTTTATATTGTGGGTCTGTTGAGACACATTCACTTCCCCGAAATTTAAAATGTGTCTAAATGGGCTCCCCAACCCATATCTGATGCATCTGTCCATAGAACTACTGGCTCTT